TCCGGTTGACATGAAGCCAATTACCTCTTCAAAAAGAGTTTCAGTCTGTGAATCAGACTTGAAGAAGTTAGTAGATGATACTAATTTCTTTTTACCATTACTTGAATCTAATATTTGACAAATAATTTGATCTTCATTATATGGATCTTTGAATGTAGATCCAGAAAATTTGCAGTGGATCCCGTTATTTAGCATTTCTGAGAAGGTTTCACCTCCATCTGTTGTTATATATGCTACTGCATGACATTTTTCACTAAACATTGAATCGCAATCCTTACCACCATAGTAAATAAAAGTGTTTTGTTTTGTAGCGTGGAATTCCAACTTTAAACCCAATTGTCTAGTCTCGGGTAATTGGGATTTAGTAAAGGTTTGTCCTCGATCGTGAGTTATATATAAACCTCCATCTCTACCAAACAAATATGCATCTTTACTGTAGAAAGGATTGAACACAATTTCAACTATTTTCTCTCTATTAGTATTTACCTTCTTTATATTCTTACCACCGTCATGAGATACATAGACTTCATTATCCAATGTCATCATTAATAAGGATTCATCAGAAGCCGTATCGAAGTATTTGTAGGTCAGTAAAGCACTGTCAAACTTGTTTTCAGATACAGTTATAATATTATCTGGGTTTTCTGGGGAATCAACTTCAGTACATGGGACTAAAACGTCTTCAATTTTCATATCAACCTTACATAGAGTATTGACAATGCGCTGTTTTGGCTTTAGACTTATTTTTCCATTTTTAGCTTTAGCACAGGAGCCAGATAAACTCAATAATTCAAAATCAGCAACACATTTTCCACTGCTATCTTTAACAAATTCGTACGAGCATTCATAGTCATCATCAGAACATTTTTCGCAAATTTCTTCTGTATATGCCAGATCCTCATAAAGCTTTCTCATTAAACATTTGGAATCAGCCTTTCTTCTGTCAAAGCTATATTTAGCACCATTGATACAATTTCCACCGGCAATATACCACTTTTCTAAGTCACTATCTACACAAGCTTTTCCTTCAAAAGCATCAGAAAAATCTAATGAATAGACAAAATTCGTCTCCTTTTTGTCATTCCAGCGCCATCTACTTCCACCAGAGCTATCCATATTTAAACCATTTAAGATAAATGTCAGGCCAGATCCATCTGGCGTAGTGCTAATTAGTTGCATTGGGAGAATTGTTTTTTCTAACTGATATTCAGTCCATGTTGTACCTTGATCAAGCGAATAGTAAAATTCAGATTGTGAGTCGTCGTCACTCTCAGGATCATATGGAACAGCAACAATAACATTCCCATAATCACCAAATGCAGTTATGGTTTGGAATTCAAAAGCTAATTTCCAAGTGAGACCACCATCTCTAGATATGAAGGTATTTAGTTCGCTCCAAGATGAACGACCTCCATCGGAAACAGCACCATTGACCATCATAATACCAGCGGTCATAAACTTGGTATTGCCAAACATCGACATAATATTCAAAGAACAGCTCTCAGGAATGTCGATATTACATGAATATTTAGACTTATTCTCTGGGTCAACAATCTTCAAATTGGACCATGTATTGCCGTTATCAACAGAAACCTTGGATTTAAGTCTCACTTTAAAGTCCGATCCTTCGTTTCCATAATTGGGATATTCTTGTGTATATCCAAAAAGGGTTCCTTTTAAAGACTTGAAAGAACTTATTTCTCTCGAAAATATGTCATCACTATTCATCCATTCAACGAACGTGAATTTTGTACCTCTTGAGTCAGATATTAAAATATCTGAGACGATGTTGCCAGTATGGTGCATTTTTTTGTTATCTTCATTTTTATCACTTGAATCCTTTTTATCATGAATTGATCTCAAAATTGGCATAGTTAGTCTACCAACTGAGTCTTCAGAGATTAAGCCATTTATCATAAATCTTAATTGCGTTGGAATATGTGCTTCTTTAAAGGTTTTGAAATCTTTTGATATCCAGACTTTCTGTGTCGAATGTCTATTGTATGCATCATCTTGAGTTATAACTAAAAGTTGAGAATCGAAAGCTTCAAAATAATTAACTAAATAACCTTTAAGCTCTGGAAGTTCTTCGAATGTTTTTCCCCAATTAGATGTCTTTACAAAACTAGATACCAAATACCTCGTTTCGTTTTCATCATTAGATTCATGACCATAGAAATGTTTCCTGATACAATATATAGTGGAATCTTCATCGATATTTTTAGATTGCTTAGTTGCTATGGCAAACTCACAATCCAGTTCCGTAAATAATAGGTTGCTTTCCTCAGATTCTTTCAAATCAATATTCAATTTTGTAAAATCCTTGCCTGAGTTCGTACTTATGAAAACCTCATCACGACAAGTTGGATCTCTAGTAATGCTGTTTAAAACATTATCTAATAGAGATGATATAGATCTCTTTGTGATGTTTTCACTAGATTGTCCCTGGTCATAATCACAAACATAGCATTCTGCTAAGAGTATTTCTGGTTTAGTTGGATGAGAAACCAGGTCACAGTTTAACTCAGATTTACCGCCATTTGAATATTCTTTTGCATTTATTTTTACAGTAGTCCAAGTTTTCCCTTGATCTTCAGTCATATAAATCTTATTACCAACTTTTGAGCTTACAAAAGCTCTAGTTTTGGGGTATTGTTTATCAACATAACACCACATGGCGTCATTAATACCCTCTACTGCTCTCCATGTTTCACCATTATTATCGGATATAGACAATAAAGTATCCTCATTCTTTAAAAGTACTGTACTATCATCAAATGGATATATAGCAAACCAATCTCTTGATTCAGTTCTTACAACTTTTGGCTTGAATTGATCAGCGGCTTGAACATAACTGGATATCAGTATGCAGGTGGTTAAAAGCCATTGGGATAATAACATTTCCCAAATTCCAAATATTATGCTTATCCAAATTCCCTGGAAACAAAAGAATTTTCCTTAATCTTACGCTTAACTTCAAATCTCCGATAATGGGTAAAGGAATGAGTAATCAAATTACACTATAAGCAACTTCCCAAACTTTATCTATATTTTATAAAAATATTGGCTATTACAGCAAACGGTAAACTGGCGAAAAGCTCAAAACCTTAATAGTCATACGGTGGTAGACTTACGGCTGATATCTAGTAATAAGCTTGTATATATCTGATCTTATATATATATTTATAGAAACTGTCCTGCTTTTAAAGTTTGCGACAAAAGTTAGTCTTATAAGCCTTTATTTCAATTGAAGATGAAAAGGACTGACTAAAAATCAAATTCACGTGACATATTCATGTTGCCGCGAAACAAATACCGCAACGGATTTGTTAAAAAATTAAGAAAAAAGAAAAAATATTATTCATTTTCGGTGAATTTATTGGTATCTTGATAGTTTACCTGATTCGTATTTCTCCAGAGGGGACATTCTTAAGGTAATAGGCACGCTATATCACGTGACTTGAATTCTCAAGAGTTCTAAAGATATACTCTCTTTTTATGGTATGGGTTACAACAGTTAGAATGAAGACGGGTCTATGTTTATTCAAGGGAATCTTGTGGTGGATATCTGTATGGTAAATTAAATATACAACTAATTAATTAATTTTCTATGTATGTCCTCTTTAGATATATTTTAGCATACTGTATAATATACAATAATATACCGTCATCTCTTTTTATAATATTGTTGATAATATGATAATATGAAAAAATGTCCGCTATCGAGGTTCACACGAAGTAACATCGGAATAATACAATATAACTATTCATTCATTGATCACCATAAAGTCACAAAAAATGAGAAACTAGGGACAGCTTTAGTTCTTTTTTTAGTAGATAATATCTTCTTTGATTGAAGAAGTGTTGAACTATCTCCAAGGTTGGTGAATACTATCAGTATCATACTAATATATAATGACACAATCAAGTTGAACAGATTTTTAATTTATATTAGTTTTCTAGTAAGGAATGATACAAACCAGTGCTTTACTTTCCTTGTATGGTAACCTTTGTATTAACTCTGTCTTCTTCCTATATTCATGTTACAATGATTTTGTTTTGGTTAAAGCATTTGATTGAATGTCAAGTTCTTGAGCGCTTGGAAGCAAACACAAGATTTGACTTTAAATTATCAACAGTTTATTGAGCTTATAATTATCATTGAACAAGGTATTACTTGTATTAATACCATAATCCTACATGATTAGCAAGCAGTCATATAATCAGGTTAGGGAATCGATATTTTCTGTTCCAGTTTAGTGGAATTTTATTCGCACGGTGGATAATAATTTAGTAAAAGAAGATCGAGAGTGTATCACTATTAATAAATACAAATAACTGAATTGGGACATATTGATTGCCATTTGGTTACACTTATTTCATTCTTTAATAAGATATGGCTTTAACTTCGGAAAACTCTTTACTGGATCAATAAAACAAGTATAATTTACTTTTCTGTCAAAATATTAGTAAAAGTTCACGTAGTTGGATTATCAGTTTCTTCAGAGATCAGTATTCTGCGACTTCTGTTAGATAGAATATTAAAACAGCTATGGTTTTCGATAGAGCCTATTCTAAAGCAATTAAAAATTCGTGAAATTATTTTTAAATGGTGCAATCTGATTTTAAATAAAGTTCTGAAGATTGGGGGTTTATCGGAGGATTCATTTTTCGATCATTGTGATCTTGATATATGGTTTCTGTTATTAAAAAAATATTCTCTAAAAATCTGAATTGTCTATTTTGTTTTTTGATAAAGACAAAATTATTTAACATTTGTCTAATTCTTAATAATATTTGGGATTCTGGACTCAAATGAACATTGATGGAAGAAGAAATATCTGAAAAACTAGCAAGATCTGAATAATCAGCAAACTTAAAATTAGTTGCGAACAATACGTTATCAATTTAGAAATTTTTCATTTATGATTTCAGCAGATAACAAATTGGATTTTAATATTCGGAAATAATAAATATTAGAAGGGTTTGAAGGAAATTCGAGAAGCAAAATTCTTTATCTTATATTTCAGATAATAAATATACGGAGAAACAAATATTTATTTTTCCTACCTCTAAAATAAGTTAAAAGAATCGGGTATTATTCTCCTGAATAAATAGGTGTTACCAATGAATACCTGAATTTTTGCTTTTTTGGAACAATTTTAATTATGATGATATCATAGTAATGTATATGCTCCAATCAATTCCTGGCATTTTATGAAACTAGCTTTCAACTATTCTTGATATTTACTATACAATATTCTTATGAAATATCCGAAATCCGGAGAATGTATCATAATATGTAATATTGTCTTACTTCCTTATAACTTAATTAGTACAACACTATTCTCTGTGGGAAAAATGTTCAAAGTACCGGGAAGTGCTAGTAATTTTTATCAATTCCTTTCATTGAAAAGATTTTTTAAGATTCTAGTATAAGCTTAATTTAGAATGATCTAATGTACTAAATCGGGGATTAGACTAAAAGAAAAAATCAGGAAGTTATCACTCTTATGGAAATGGTTTTTAATATATCAACAATTCATATTTGTACCTGGTTCACTTGATATTTATTCCGCGTCCTAGTTGCCTTTTCGGATAATTATTTCTAAATACGTATGTGACTGTTTGTTTTATCTCATTCTTTGTCTTTAATAAATACCTTACCTGAATCTAAAAGGATAAAAGTAACTTAATAATACTTTGAGTTGAAGTCATTCAAACTCATGTTTTTCCAATTTGCCAAGTACATTAATAACATATGGGGGAGTGACATAAACTTTCCAATTCTTAAAAATGATGTAACTAGAAGTTCAAAAAGAATAAAGATATAAATTTCGACCTGTATGTAAGATTTCAAGGATCCAAAAATTGTTTTGTCAAAATGTAAACAAACAAGATTGTATCTGTTTATTAATATATGACTAACCCTTTTAAGAATCAAATTTCTTGATTTGGATTTCTGTTATCGATATATCTCATGGTATTAACAAAAAAAGTTGTTTATACCAGAATGAAGCATATACGACAAAGGGTCTTAATGAAGAGGCTCCCTTGGTGGGAAAGCATGGTAGATACTTGAACTTATTCTCATGTCTTCATAAGCAGCGAATATTCAAATCGAAGATGAAGGGAATGGATGACGACCGGTTAACACACACTCCTACATTTCTTATGAAACCATTTTGAAACGTTTACATAAAAAGAAAGAAAATGTAAATAAATCAACAGTAGAGAAAGCAACCATCTCCACACAAGACTTCACAAGATAAAAGAAAAAGAAAGATGGCCTTTTTGTTTTCAAAATCTTATATATCAACATCTTGTCACTCGACTTCGATGTCATAATAAAATAGACATGACATCTATCTGCAATTAAGTCTGACGTTATGCTTTCTATCGTTACAAAATCCTGATTGACCTCAAAGAATGCTTTCTTAAAACCATATTTGCTTCAAGCAATTCAATAATAATATTATTAAACCGCCAACTACCGTCTTCCTTCTCACTTCCACTTCTACTTCCGCTTCCATTCCCATTCCCATGCCCATTCCCCCTTAAACTAGAGAACTCTTGTCTTCGAATTCATTAGACATCAACCTTTGTAGATAGATAGAAAGACATTAATTAATTGATAGTTCTTGGTACATTAATTGATTGTTGGAAGATATTTTGCGTCTTCCTTCTGAGAAGAACGGGAAGAATAATATGTAGATTTCGTATGCTACGATCATTGCTTTTGCAAAACCCACGTCATAGAGCAAAACTTGTACACACGATATTACCTGATCTGGGAAAATGTAAACATTCAAGGATCTGTATGTGTCCTAAAACAGAAAAATCTTCAAGTTTTGGATCATCCGAGTTAGGAAATATGTCAACAGTAATGCTCTCATGTTTCTTATTTTTGCATCGAAAACCTAAAGTCTTTTTGATCTGAACCATTAAAACTAGCAACAGAGACAGTGAATCTCAGAGGTTTTTTAAGTGAATTGCAACAGATAGTAGTAAAACAATAACAATAATATTATTAGCAATTGGACAGACGTTCCTGTGAGAAGAACTGAGATTAATTCAGCTTTGTTGTAAGTTTTTCTAGCAGCTTGGAAGTTTATAGCAATAATAGTAAAAATTATCTATTGTGCATTAGTTTATTGAAATTGAACTTGAAATTGAAATTATTTCTTCTTTTGAGGATTGTTTTATAGATTCAGTAGCAATATATATTAACTATTCCACAGCTTTGAATTATAAAATTAAGATTCTACTAGGATTTTGTGAAACAAGCACATACAGAACCATTTTTTTTTCTAATATTGTTATTATTATTGTTTTTATTTTGGTTAATTGATACTATAGCCTTGGCTGATATTCTGATATCCCTACGTTTGATAGTTCCTAGTGTTTACAAGTTTTACCGAAGTAGTAAAACATTGAACTTATCCAAAGAAAAAAAAAATTACTTCAGAATTAGAAGCTAGCCTGGTGGTGATTTTTAAGCATCTTGGTTTTTGAAAGCTTTTTGATCAAGTCTTTTTGTTCATTCAGGTTTTATATATATCATTTTTGTGATTTAAAATAACTGAAATAAATCTGCCTTTTATCATATTCAATATTGATTTCAAACCTAGAGATAGCTATCTTTGAAGATCAATCTTTAATCGTTCCCAGAGCCATCTACTCATACATAGATTTTTGATTAAATCTTAGAAACTAACTAGGTCAAAGTGGACAGGGGGGAAAGAAAAAATTGAAATACAGACACATCTACATATTGTTCCATTAATTAATTAATTGTATCCTGTAATTATTCATTTTTTTTTTGTTTCATTTCACTATAGATATTGTTTCCTTTGTTCTTTAACGCTGCAATTTTCTGATCTTTTGACCCATTACAGACAAGTTTTACACTCGATACCATAAATTATTCAAATTTTCCTATTTGATAATCACTTATCTTCAATAGACTTATTTTTGGTTATAATTACTCCAGTGTTAATAATTTGTTAAATTAAGGAATTGTATTCATCCCATCTTCTCGTCGTTTTAGAGTTTTGAATAAAATATACTTAATATCTAATATTACATCGATCACTAATAACACTATAGCAAAATTGGCTAATTATTTAATAAAATTCAAATTCATCACATTCCATCATCGAATATTAAATGTCGTCTTCCTCTAATCCAATTGATAATATTCAAAACGGAAGGACCAGTTTACTAAGAAATATTCAGAGATCTGCATTGAATAATGTCACTAATACTACATTATCACAAGAAAACGTTTCTCAACAATCAGTAGTGAGAACCCTAAAGTCATCCCTTACATTGGCAAAAAGAGAAGGTTCTAAAATTCCTCAATATAAGAAGGACACATATCCAGATCCATCCTCACATGGTACTTCATTAACTAATAGTAATAGTTCTTTTAATATCAAAGAAATTGCATCCAAGAATATTACAAATTTAAGTACAGAGAATAAGGAAAATCTAGATCCTTTCCCTACAAGTTCAAATGTCGTAAATTCAAAAAATTTACCATCGATAGAGGAAGAACAAGAACATGAAGTATCAAAGAATTTATCAGGACATATTACATCTAACAATCAAGAAGCATCAAGTTTACAAGATAAACAATCTGAATATCAAAGCACACAGGAAGAATTGGTGAACTATCAAAAGGATAATCATTTAGATGTCGATGCAAATAAAAAAAGACCGATCTCCACCGTAGTTGAACAAGACCTGCCCAAGAAATTTAAAGTTTGCAATGAAGATGGACAAGAAGAGTATGAATGGGAAGATTTAGATGCAGAAGATGCCAATGATCCATTTATGGTCAGTGAATATGTTACAAATATTTTTGACTACTTACATCATCTGGAAGTTATTACATTACCTCAGAAGCAAGATCTATTCAAACACAGAAATATTCATCAAAATCGAGACATCTTAGTTAACTGGATGATTAAAATTCATAATAAATTTGGATTACTACCGGAGACGCTATACCTAGCTATCAATCTAATGGACCGTTTTTTATGTAAAGAACTTGTTCAACTAGATAAACTTCAACTTGTAGGAACATCGTGTTTATTTATTGCATCAAAATATGAAGAGGTTTATTCACCAAGCATAAAGCATTTTGCTTCTGAAACAGATGGGGCTTGTTCTGAAGATGAGATTAAGGAAGGTGAAAAATTTATATTGAAAACATTGGAATTTAATTTAAATTATCCAAATCCTATGAATTTCTTAAGAAGAATATCGAAAGCAGATGACTACGATATACAGTTGCGAACACTGGCAAAATTCTTGCTTGAGATTTCATTAGTAGACTTCAGATTTATTGGCATACTTCCCTCATTATGTGCAGCTGCTGCTATGTTTTTATCAAGAAAAATGTTGGGAAAGGGTAAATGGGATGGTAACCTGATTCATTATAGTGGTGGCTATACAACAGAACAATTGGCACCTGTATGTCAGATGATGATGGATTACTTGGTTAGTCCAATTGTACATGACGAATTCCATAGAAAATACCAATCCAGAAGATTTATGAAAGCTTCCATAATTTCAGTTCAATGGGCATTAAAAGTTAGGAAAAATGGTTACGATATAATGACATTGCATGAATAAATTAATTAATTAATAATGACAGTAGTAATACTAATTTCTCATTCTTTCCTTATACCCTGTATATTGTACTAATTCAAAAATTATGACCTTCCTAATCGGCATTCCATCACATCTAAATCATTTATCATATAGTGTTTCTATGTACCCTTTTTAAATTTCCAAACTAATAATAACAATAATTCAGATATAATAAATAATTAACAATTAATTTCTTAAATTTGTAGTAAAAATAATAAGAATTACAAATGATAAACAATATTATATATTGATTAAATGCAAATAATTTTCGTAAAAATGCTTATTACGTATTTAGACGCAACTTCATGGTACTCTGATAACCAAGTTTTGTTAAAATAGATTATTAAATTTGTTAGAAACTTGATTTTTGCACCAGGAATAAACTTTGGAATAAACTTCATTGTTACTTTGAAGTTTGAATTTATTAATTAATGAATTTACTTGGGTTGTTGGTGAAACTACTTCATTGATTAACTCTTGGCATAAATTTTTAAATGTCGCATCCTTTATGGAATCAACATTGTTATTTAGACTTGGTACATTTTCAAAATCCATAGGATTTTCCTCAGAATGAACTTTACGTGCAATATACATTGACATACCACCAGTTAATGATGGTTTGACGTCAATAAATCTTGGTGAACATGTAGCTAATTCAACTAAGAATTTTCCCATTCTCTCTAGTTCAGGATCATGTGAAACATTTTTAGAACATCTTCTCATGAAGTTGACTGCATTTGCTGAACTGATATCAAAATTCAAGCACTTAAATAGGTACATTTCAGCTTGCTTGATATCTTCTTTAGAGGCTGCACCATCAGTTAAATATGCATAATCAGTTATCTTAGGCAATTTAACTTCTTCAAATTTAGCCGCCACGAATAATGATGTGATTGCCAATAATTGAAGTTTATTGACAGTAACTTTGTTTTGTGAAAGGAATCTATCCATCATGTTTATAGCTAATAGTAATGTTTCAGTAGTATATTGGAATTTATGATGAACTTCTACTAACCAATCTATAAGAACAGCTCTCATTGCCGGACGGACATGATATTCAGATGTTTCATCTATTAAATAATTATGAGTTGGTAAATTATCAGTTTCACGTTCACGTAAGTATTCAAAAATGTCATCAGCATATTCTGTTACCATTTTAATATCATCCTTACTGGAAAATATCGTGTTTATTAATGGTGAAGGATCGATTAAACTTGATGTTTTGAATTTTTTAATTTGTGTTCTCTCTTCTTCTATATCACAATCTGATCTTCTTTTTGCTGAACAAATAATTGAATTATTTATAATGCTGTCCTTTCGTACTTTAGAAAGAAGCTCTGTGTTTGACTTTTCAAATTGATCCATATTTTCTTTGAAATCCATTGAAGAAGGAGTTAAGCTTTTAATTGAAATAGCAGGAGGTGATGAATGTAATATATTTCTACCCATTTTCATTTGCTTCGCAGAGAATGAAATAGGATAAGTCAATGACTTTTGTTTTCTACATTCGAATATTATCTTTTGGTCGTTTGAGTTTTCTTGACCTATGGTAATTTGATGGACTGGATTAGACGTGGTTTGTTTTGCCATTATTGATAATTTTAATATATCTATTATAGTAGCACTTACTCTTTTAATTAATTCTATAAAGTGGAAATTGGCTTTCCTTCTATCAATACTGTTTTGAGTATGAGATATACAAGTTGCAATTGTCAAGTATGAGAATGAATGGTAGTTACTATACCAGTCAATGTATATATATGTATATATATATATAAAAGTAAATTCTTACAAGTATGATTTTAGTGAAAAGGTAGGCAGGACTCCTAAAAAATATTTAATTTTCAAGACAGACTGAAAGGGAGCACTCGAAGTAAACTTGTTCTTACAGATCATATTAGATACAAATTTGGATAATACTGTATATAATTAAACGCGAATGAGAGGGTATACCAATTACACGTTAAAGAGCTTATAATTCTTAATCAAGAAAATTTTGGAATATCCTATCCATCTCAATTCGTTAGTAACCCTATAAAATTTACATTTTTTGGTGACACTAAGAATATTATACAAGAAATTCACTACATTAAACGTATCTTAAACAGTTTCTTGTCCATGACAAAGTTCTACCGAGATCTAAACCTAACCAATTCTCTTTACGCGTATTTTTTTTTCATGTCACGTTAATAAAATAATTTAATTATTTCGTGTATCGCGTTTTGTATGTACGTACAAAGATTACCAGACAATTACAATACAACTATATTACAATTCTGTGATAATGCCAGGGAGTATGAATGAAGTGAGAATAATGATCTATTTCTAACTGTCAGAGACACGCAACGACGATGTTCTTTTAACCAGGTATGAGGGCTAGTTTATTAAGGTTGCAACTTTATGGTACGTAGAGTAATTGAAATCTGTGAGGATGCAAGACCTCAATTTTGTCATTACTGAAAGTTTTGGAGGAGGAGAGTTTGGGCCATTGTCTAGGGAACAATAAGATTTCTGATTTGTTTTCCTATTTGGATAATGGGTATATTACAATTAAAAGTGAATCTGAAAGTTTAATTCATCGTTTGTCCTCTTTTTGTTATCTTAACTTAATGACAAAAATTTATACATGAGTTAATAGGAAAATATATTAGCAATCATGGCTAGTACTCTTTCTGTTTAAAGTAATCAAGTTAATTGGCTTTATTAGTATAGAGTTAAAGATATTAATAAATCTTTACCTGAGCAAAACATACTCTTAAATCCTTGTTCTAGCGTATAATTGCGAAAGGTTCTATAGCCCCGTTATCTTCCTACCAAAAAAATATTTCAATTGTATTCCAATTAATAACCTAAAATTAGATAAAATACCATGAGATGCAGCTCAAGAGTCTGCTATGCTACTCAACTAAAAGGCATAACAACATTCAAAAAACAAAAGCTCGCACTCAGGATCGAACTAAGGACCAACAGATTTGCAATCTGCTGCGCTACCACTGCGCCATACGAGCTTTTAAATGCACTTTCTTTTTGAACTAGTTAAATTGCAATTGTAATAATTTGTTAAGTCCGGGTAATAATAAAATAAGCGTCACAATTAGGAAAGATAAGACACAAGGGATTGTTCATATGTAAAAGTAATATCTGATTGATTCATTTTGGTGATTGATACAAGATGCTTTTAATATAATTGTCAGAAATTATGAGATGACGTAAAGTCATACTCATTAATTCAATATTAATAAGGGTGAAGAATTATATGAAACATCATTATTAATAAGGGATAAAGAAATGTTTCTAATACGAAAGTATTTACTTCTGACGTGTGAATAATATCTAAACATTGTATATAAAGACTGATAAGATCTTAATTGACACTTATCATATGTACTATATTCCCATGTGTATATTTTATACTTTAATACACCGGATCAATATCATCTAATTAAAAATGTCCTTGCAAACAACTAAACAATCAACTACTATTAATGATTCTGTAAAGAATCCACAACCCTCTGATTCTCTACAATAATATTTATATTTATTTCTCCGTAGTGTCTTATAAATGTAACTGTTGTGACTTTAACCTGGATACTCGAGGATAAAGTTTATGCCACTATTGCTATTTTTCGTACAAGGTGAATGTATCGATTTCTCTAATATATAAAAGGAACAAATTTTCAGTTCCGATATATAAAACTATTTATGTTATATAGACTACTCTGTTACAAGAGGATGAGCGAGTTGCCACTCACTGACCTCAGTAATAGGTCAAGATGTCTATTTAACGTATATCTACTCTCATCATAAGCTTAAAGCTTTTACCATTCTGACATGGTAGCGTATAATCGGTTTCTTCTTCTTTGCAGGAAGCTAGGTACCCAACGATCTGAGACGATGGACACCTAAGAGCTAAGCTATATATTCTACAAGAGTATATTCGTTAGGGTGGTACTATTTGAGTACTAAGTTAGTACTACTTATGTATTGTCTGGTATTGTTACTAATTTACATACCTTTCAACGGATATCATACTCCTCCCGTTAGGCATATCTTAATTGATTTTTGCCACGATTAGATGATATCCACATAGTGCGATTTCTTTGTTTCATGATGAAATGCGTGATGTCTTTGAAATTACAGATTAATCAAGTTCCTGGATAACTATATTCGACTTCTATTCTAGACCAAGCCTTTCAGTATTTTTGCGCCAAATGAGAACTTAAATAACAATTAATCGATCGCTCGTAGCGAATTCGAGTTACTGATTGTGCCAATGACTATGGAAAAACCTGTTAAAAAGCGTATAACTATTACTAATGAGCAGGACAACAGATAGGTTTATTACAAACTGAGGCACACGGTAAATAAGACCCTCTCACACCCAAGCGATAAATTCAGCCAGGTACAAACCCGAGAGAAGGCAGACGATAAGACCTATCCTCGTACCTTAGGCATGATATTCACCAAGGTTCCCAAGATGAGCAAGAGGCAGAAGGTAAGACCTACACTCACACCTTATTCATATTCGCAAACCAGGGTTTACAAGATGAGCATGCGGCATAAATCCTCCCTCATACCTACGCAGACACCGCTATTATTAAATACGACTTAAAATTATAGTAATAGACAAGTCATTATTGCTGACAATCTTCCCGAATATCTTACGTAGGCCAAGAGAGCCAGATATCGAGCCAACAATAAGTCATTACTCACTGATTCAGGTTAGTCATGCACACAGACTGTTATATCTTAACTGCTATTGTATCATTTCTGCAGCGTTGCCGATACTAAATCTGACTAAACTACACATGAAGGTGTACTTTATAGTCACAAGATCGAATTTCTTTTTACTGAGGCTACTGCAAATGCCTAAAATTTCTACATTATCAACTATAATTATAGTTTCACAATTACAATCCACTACTATTCTACTTTCAGTCCATCGTTCCGGCGCTAACCGGTTGAGTACTATTCAAGAAGGGTCGGGTGGTAAAATTGTCAGCACCTGGGCTTGAACTCAACCACACTCTATCATTAGCTTTCATCTAGACTGATTTTTATATCTGTCACCATCACGTCAATTCTTAATTCGGGTGGTAGGGATAGTTTTACATATCTAGGTTGGAATCAAAATTTGGACGAAAAGTTTCCAGTTTTGAAAAGGCTAATCCATAAATCGAGAATTTACCAAGTAGGGTGGTATGTTGTGACTTTAACCTGGATACTCGAGGATAAAGTTTATGCCACTATTGCTATTTTTCGTACAAGGTGAATGTATCGATTTCTCTAATATATAAAAGGAACAAATTTTCAGTTCCGATATATAAAACTATTTATGTTATATAGACTACTCTGTTACAAGAGGATGAGCGAGTTGCCACTCACTGACCTCAGTAATAGGTCAAGATGTCTATTTAACGTATATCTACTCTCATCATAAGCTTAAAGCTTTTACCATTCTGACAGTAACTAAATAAATATATATTAATATTTTAGATAAACAATATTTTAGATGTACCAAAATGTCATGCCTTTTTATAGGTTTAGATCCAATCTCATAATCTCAGAATTATTAATTAATTATAATAAAAATAGTGATGCCTTTGCACTCCACTTCCTATGACATGATCATCAATTGCTCAGATGATCAAGTAGATCATCATTATCGAGCTATTGGAATCTATCATAATAATTGCTGTCAATAATATTGACAGACTATTTCTTCATATCATTAGTAATCATTGTTCATTAAAATGATTAGGGTTATAAATATAATCTTTCAGCTCATAAGAATGTTCTAGAACCATACAGATCTATAATCTATCTCTTAGGTCATATTGTTAATATTTGCATTTATGTCATTAGGGCAACAAATGTCATTTATCACGTGATATGAATAATCTGTAAACCTATATATGGAATTCATACATTTAGGTTACAACAGGGATGTTATACAAAAAGACAAGATTTATTTGTTCACATTAAAACTTAATATCTGAATTATTCATTATGATGATTTTGATATAATATTTGTATTTATCTCCGCCTATTGTTTTTTTAAAATGAGCCACCTAAATATAAAATAATATGTTAGACAGATGATATCTTGAAATTGTTGATCATTTTTAATAGGTGACCTATTTATTTAATTACATTTCTCCGTGAGGATTTTATATATAATATAATGTAGAGAATTATGTTGTAGTTTTTCTACCGAATCGTTCATAGTAATAGATTCTTTATTTATTTCCAAGGACATTCTTAATAAGTTGATATTGAGCCGGTGTATTAAAGTATATAATATACACATGGGAATATAATTAACATGACAAGTGTCAATTAAGATCTTGTCATTTCTTATATAAAGTGTTGGAAAAGTTTTCAGCGTCAGAAATAACATTTTCGTGTAAAGTAACGTTTCTTTATCCTATATGAATAATGTCGTAATACGTCTAGATCACGTGTTACCTCATAATTCTGACAATATTTAAAGAGATCATTGTATATTATTGTATATTATTTAGTATCTTACTTTGTACAACAAAAGGATATACAATTACATTATTATTAACAAGTATATTTACTTTAGCTTACAGATCTCAACCCTTAAGATCCTATAGAATAAACGCCTAACAGCCTTCATTCTAACTTAAAACGAATTAAACATACAACTAAGTAATAATTAAAAGCATTATTAAGAGGCCAATCAATACAATACTGTATTCTTTGTTGTGAATTCTTTAGTTGTAGATATCTAATAATTGTACGTCGAGTAAATGCTGTTATGGTATTTATTCTATTCGTCTATTTGGTGGTAGATTAGTACTGTTAATAAGTATATTTATTAATAAAGAGTTCTATATTTTCTTCTTCTAATGTACAAAGTAAGTAAATAATATACAATACTATACAATTGTTTCAAATAGTAATTACTATTATTCTTTATAAGTATGAACGATAATAACACTTATTATCTGGTGTCATAGATCTTACAATCCATTCGTATTAAACTATGTTGAAACAATACAATACATCTATATCACGTGTTACCTCATAATTCTGACAGTTCTTTTAGTTTTATACATAGTTACTTGTTATATTACTATATATATTCTTCTTTTATACTTCAAGATACCTTGAAGAGTTTTCGGTTCGGACAAACACTCGTGAGACATGATAATATGGCTTTATAAGAAAAAGTCACATGACCAATGTCAGCATAATAGTTAATTAACCTCATTACTGGTTTGTGGTATTGGTCTCAACTGTCATTGTCACTGGTTTACTAGATAACTGGATCATTTCTTTATTCTGATACATAGTTACTTAATATATGATGTTACATAATGTTCTTTTATACTTCAAGATGCCTTGAAGAATTTTCACTTCGGACAGACACTCGTGAGACATGATAATATGGCTTTATAAGAAAAGTCACATGACCAATGTCAGCACTCATAGAGCTTATAACTAGTAACCTTAAGTATTGACTTCTACGGCTTGTTTCCCTAGATAAATACTTAATACATTAATATTTAATATTCCGGATCAAACAATACAGGATCGGATCGGAATATTCCGTGATGTGTTCCTATTTCCTGATTTTTAAAGACGTTATAGTTTTGGCACTATGGCCGAGTGGTTAAGGCGACAGACTTGAAATCTGTTGGGCTCTGCCCGCGCTGGTTCAAATCCTGCTGGTGTCGAATTTTTTTAGTATTTGAATCAATTTTCTTCTGAGTTGATGAATATGAGACTGTACTTAGATTCAACTCTCTGGTAGTTGGGGATAAACCCATTCATTAGCATCATAATTCAACATTGAACTACTTAACAAAGTGCTGTTGACGTTCTAAAGTAAAATATTAAAATAAAATTTTACAACTAGAAGCTAGTATATCTCAAACACTTTATCACTTAATGATAGCAACCTTAAGAAGCTTCAATAATATTACATGCTCAGAATTTATATTTATTAGACATTCATTTTCAAATAAAATATATACAATAAACTATTGAATTTCTCATTTTTCAGGAAACACAACTTATTTGCTAATAAGTCAGTTTGCAGTAAAATAAATTAAAAGTTATATAGCCATTCATTTAGTTGTTTAGGAGTGAAGTTCATTGTAATTCGTTAGTAGGGAGTAGTAGCTTATGATTGATTTATTATAATTAATTTAAATCATGAGAATTCTCATGCATATTCGTTTTATTAGGAATAGTAGGTCCAATATGTCCAGTAATTTCCTTTAATCTCGGTAACTGAATTTTAACTGCCATGGGGTCATGATTTTCCGCAGTATATTTTGTTGCATTGATCAAATTATCAATGCCACTTCTTGGTATCGACGAGTTTGCTACACTCTTTGTATTAACAATATTTATTCCTCTATCAGGCTCTAATGCCAAATTTTGTATTGGTAAAAGTACTGGTTTATTAACACATTCATTAGTATTTTTAATCTCAATTTTACTCAAATTTTCAATCTTCGCCATCTTATTATCTTCTTTTTCAATTTTTTCAGCTACATTTGTCACTTTCTTATCAGATACTGTCACATTCTTATTTGAATTCGATTTGTTATTAATTTTTTGATAATCAGACTTTGTCTTTTCTGATGACTTCGATTTTTTAGATGATCCTTTGGCGCTATTTTTCTCTTTTATATTTACAGATTTGTTTTTGGTTTCTTTCCCATTAGACTTACTACTCTGTGTGGCTATATTTATACTCTTGGATAAAATTTTTGAACTTGGATTATCAGCATTCTTTGTAATTTGAGATTTAGAATTATTTACAGATTTTTTGGTTTTGGCTCTTTTTTGTTTTTGTTGTCCAGACTGTGGGGTGGATTTATTCGAGGATTTTGAATTTGAAACAGCTGCACTAACTAACTTGTTGATATTGTTTTCAAATGGTCTTTTTTGAGGAAGTGACTTTTCATGATTTAAAATTGGTGGAATTAATGATGGAGGCTGTGGTCCTATAGGATGAAGTGCCTGATTTGGTAAAATAGTCGGGTTTAGGTGTACTTTATTATAATTTTGTCCCATATTTAGAGGATTTAATAGATCTGGTTGTAAAGTCGGTTGTAGCATTAATGGAATATTTTCATTCTTTTTTTGATATTCTATTTTTTGATTAATATTTCCCTGTTGAGTTGATAGTTGATTTGTAAGAGCGTCCAATCTTTCTCTAATATGAGTATTATCAGGCTCTAATCTTGCCGCTTGTTTGTAAGCGTCCAGCGCGTCAGTTAATTGATTGTTACAGGTTTCATATAATGTACCTAAGTCATACCATACTTCACTAATGTATGGATTTAATCTAATTGCTCTTGTATAAGCATCTAAAGCATCCCTATATTGATAAATCTGGTAATACAATACCCCAATAGAACACCAGAATATTGGATTTCTCGCATCTCTATTGACTGCTTGTTGAAATGCTTCATAAGCAGCATTGTAATCGCTTCTAATCATATGAATTCTACCAAGGTGATACCATGTAGTTGAATCTTCACTATCCACCTCTAAGGAACGAAGTAAATAATTGAGAGCCTTTTCAGGGTTATAAAAATTTAAATTATTATTCATTGCGTATAAGCAACCTAATTGTTGTAAGACCTTGGCATGTCTATCATTTTGTAATAGGACATTTTCATAAGCAATTTTAGCATTTTCCCAAACACCTATATTTTCCAAAACGTTACCGATCTGAAACCAAATATCCCACTGTTTCAATGGTTGTGGCGGATTTGTCAATATATAATTAAAACAATCTAGAGCTTGATTAAATTTTCCTTGGTGTTTGTAAATTATACCTAATCTGAAATATATTTCGTTTGCTTTATCAAATTTTGGATCTAATTCCAACACTTTGGCAAATGCCTCTTCTGCATATTCGAGAGAACCATATCTATCATATAGTATCCCGATACCATGCCATAATCTTGGTACATTAGGGTCAGCTAAATGATATAAAGCCTGTTGGTAAGCGTTATAAGCCTTTTGTAGTTCATCCAACATTAAATATGAATGGCCTAATAAAGACCAGACCTCAGCTAGAGTAGAATCTAAAGCTACAGCTTTTTCATAATAATGAACAGCCTTATCGAAAGCATCAGTTGAACGATAAAAATTGGCTAACGATACCAAAGCAGTGACACTAAGAGGATCATGAGCTAACACAGAGTGATAGGCTCTTATTAGGGTTGTAGTGTCATTAAGAGTTTCAGCTAAGGAAGCTATAGATAGCCAAGTATCAGCAGTAGACTGGACTATAGGATCAATATTTTTAACATTTGGAGGAACTTGTTGTAAAGAAACTGGTGTAGATTGCAAAGGTTGAGTTTGGACCAACGCTTGCATTACTTTTCTGTTCCTCTGATATGAAATAAAATACAAAAAATACTTATAACCTAGTGAAAAATTTATATAGATATATAGAAGTGTGTCTGTGTGTATATTTATATTTATATATACCCAGAATATTAAAGGAAAAAATAAAATCGAATAGCTACAAATACCTACTTCCCATAACGAAAAGAGATGTCTTACAGAGAATTTAAGCTTGATAAATACAATGCAAAACCTAGTAAATGTTTTATAGAAATCAAAAATTAAAAAATCAAAAATCAAATAAAAAAATAAATAAATCAATAAATCAATAAATAATCTAACAAATTCAAGACTAACTACAACCTAGAACAAGGACAAGAAAGAAGAAAGAACTGCAAACCATCTACGCTAGAAACCTGTAGAGGTTATGCCTGAATATCCTATAGATTTTATATAAATATCAGTATAATCGATCAATCATCATCAAAATCTTCTTCATCGAACAAATGAACTTTAAAGTAACTATTATTACATTCTGAAGTGGAAAAAATATATATATTCCAAAACTATAAGATTCTATCTGATCTCTACAGTATAACCTGTCACCATACCACCTCACGTTTGCAAGTTAAAAATAAACTAGTTCATAGTACTAGATTCACACATAGGTGTATATAAACATACATACATACATACATACATACATACATACATACATACATACATACATACATACATACATACATACATACATACATACATACATATATAAATACCTGTGGAAGGAGAGGTAGGTTGGATCCCATCTGTCTATATTTAAATGTACCCTCCTGAGCTTGTCTCAGTACTGCATGTCTTAATGAAACTAAGTTTGAGTAGTTTAAAAGAAGGTAAACAAAACTGAGGAAGATGACGCAAGAACCATCAAGACAAGTGTCTGGTTGCTGTAATGTGATTAAATTGGCGAGTTGATTAATCAATTCTCGAGTAATTGGGAGGAGAGCTGCATCAAATGGAAAGTAGAAACCATACAATCATGGTAATAACGTTAGCACCGATGACAAACAAATTATAAGAAGAAGTGGTAAATTAAAGAAGGAACAAGGAGATATATATTCCATTTGTAGATGGTAGATTGGAAATTGTTTCTTTACCTAGAGTTTGTGTTTTTAATTCATTTGTTTCTGTAGATAGATGGGCTTACCTATTACTGCTATGTATGATTAAACATATGTAATTATTTTAGGTTTATTTTACCTGTAACAGAGAGAGTTCTCTCTGTCTGGGATGTCGGTATATATCGTATCTGTATATCTGAAACAATATCGAACAACAAAGACAAAATGTGCCTCTATATGTTTCTTTTAAGTCGTTGGATTGAATCTGTACGGATTAGATGAACAAAAACAGTGACAATGGTGATGATGGTGGTGATGAATAGAGGCAGAGACATGCATACAGACAAACAAAACAGACGGTGGGAGGTATTCATTGTAATAGGCAAATTAAATGGAGATATTTTATAAAGGAATAAATCAAGACAAACCTTAACATATCTTCTCACACCGTCAAATCAACTAATCAATCACAATCATCACCTGTAGAGTACGGTACAGTACGTTACGGTAATCTACTCTACTCTACCACTTGGTGTATCCTTTTCATGGTTTTATTTCTTATTCTGGCATCCGTTGGTTAATTTTTACGTTGTTGTACTGACAAAAGACAAAGGTGAAAGGTTTTTTTTTGTCTTTTCTCAAGAGACCAGTTGAGGCATCAGTCTAAAGAGGGTAGGCTATTGATATTTTCCTTTTTCTGACTGAACGGTAATGAAAGTGATAAGTGATAGTGATAGTGAAAGTGAATCAATAAGAAGGAGAGAAGTACTGCTACATACAACTATTTACCTGTTGCGATAATTATGGTAATGTGATGATTATGATTAGAATGAGAGAGTGAGAGTGAGAGGCTGTTGTGTATGTGTTGTGTTGTGTTTTTGATAGGTTCTATAATTTTTCATGTGTTTTTTTGGTTCTTTCTGTAAAAGTGAAATAAAACAAAGTCCAAACGCAGCAGCAGCAGCAGTGGTATTATCAGCAGCGCTAGCATATGCTAACTACGAAGGTTGGATGTCTTTTCTTATTCCCATTCCTATTCTTATTCCTATTGTTACGGAAAGAACTCCAGCAGTAAGTAAGCTAGTGAGTGATAGCTACACTATTAAATTTTCGAAATGGGTTTGATTTCTCAAGCAGTAACAGAGCAATATCGATTGAATGATTAGTAAGAACAATATCGAGATGTGAACAAAAAGATGAGGAATGTTCAAGATCAATTACTGATTTTAATATCAATTTGATATTTAGAAGACTATTTTAGGTTCTAAAAAAAACATATACCAATATTAACTTCGTCGGAGAATTGTGGGAACTTTTTGCTAGTCTGTTCTACATTTTTATGTTTAATTCGATCCTTCTGGCACTAAATTTGGTAAAGTTTTGAAGATTATGGAAGAAGGTGGATTCATAAGGAAGAGGATTACTAGGTCATCTCGTAAGAAAGTTGATTACGTTGAATCCGATGATACAGAAACTGATGATAATTTGAAAATAGTGAAATTATCTGATCCTTCGGATCATGAAATTATAGAGATCAAAAGTGAACAAGAAGAGGAATATGACGATGATGACATGCCTTTATCACAGACTAAGAAGAAGGTTTCAAAGAAAAAAATTGTAAAGAAAAAAAATACAAAAAAATCAACGAAGCCAAAGAAACCAAAATTAACTCCATATGAGAGAAATACACTAAGATTATATGAATTTCATCCTTATTTAAAAGATGTATTTATAGATTTAAAAAATGCTCCTCCTTACGTACCCCACAGAGCTGAACAACCTGAAGGAATGTCTATAAAATTACTTCCTTTTCAGTTGGAAGGTCTTCATTGGCTGGTGCATCAAGAAGATAATTCTCTTTACAATGGCGGTGTCCTCGCAGATGAAATGGGTATGGGTAAAACTATTCAAACCATTGCTTTGTTATTACATAATTTGCAGAACTCACCTTCTTTAGTTATTGCTCCAACTGTTGCTTTAATGCAATGGAAAAACGAAATCGAACAACATACAAACGGCAAGTTAAAAGTTTATATATTCCATGGTGCAAATAGGTCTTCTGATTTGAATGATTTAAAAAATTTCGATGTAATATTGACTACTTATACAGTCATTGAATCAGTATTTAGGAAACAAACTTATGGTTTTAGAAGAAAAGCAGGCCTAATCAAAGAACGTTCAGTTCTGCATAACATCCCTTTTTATAGAGTCATTCTGGATGAAGCACATAATATTAAAGATAGAACAAGTAATACTTCAAGAGCTGTAAACGCCTTACAGACAAAGAAAAGATGGTGTCTATCGGGTACGCCGTTGCAAAATAGAATTGGTGAAATGTATTCATTAATACGGTTCCTTGATATAAATCCATTTACAAAATATTTCTGTACCAAATGTGAATGTAATTCAAAAGAATGGAAATTCTCAGATAATATGCACTGTGATAATTGTAATCATGTCATAATGCAACACACAAATTTTTTTAACCATTTCATGTTGAAGAACATACAAAAATTTGGTGTTGAAGGTCCAGGGTTGGAAAGTTTTAACAATATTCAGACTCTATTGAAAAATATCATGTTAAGAAGAACAAAAGTAGAGAGAGCTGACGATTTAGGTTTACCTCCAAGAATTGTAACAGTAAGGAAAGATTACTTCAATGAAGAAGAAAAGGATCTTTATAGAAGTTTGTATTCCGATGTGAAAAGAAAATATAATGCATACGTTGAAGATGGTGTCGTTTTAAATAATTATGCAAACATTTTCACTTTAATTACAAGGATGAGGCAGATGGCAGATCATCCTGATTTAGTTCTAAAAAGATTGAAATCTGCTACTGGACCAGACTTTTCTGGTGTTTATATTTGTCAACTTTGTAATGATGAAGCAGAAGAACCAATTGAATCAAAATGTCACCATCAGTTTTGCAGACTGTGTATTAAGGAATATATAGAATCATTTATGGAAGATTCGAAGAATTTAACATGTCCAGTATGTCATATTGGATTAAGTATAGATCTATCGCAACCTTCTCTAGAGGTAGATATGGAGCATTTCAAAAAGCAAAGCATTGTCAGTAGATTAAACATGGGAGGTAATTGGAAATCATCTACAAAAATCGAGGCATTGGTAGAGGAATTATATAAACTCAGAAGTAATGTCAGAACCATAAAATCGATTGTATTTTCTCAATTCACTAGTATGCTGGATCTGGTCGAATGGAGACTGAAAAGAGCAGGTTTCGAAACTGTTAAACTACAGGGTAGTATGTCACCTACTCAAAGAGATGAAACTATTAAATATTTTATGAATAATATTAATTGTGAGGTGTTTTTAGTAAGTCTAAAAGCTGGTGGTGTTGCATTAAACTTATGTGAAGCCTCTCAGGTATTCATACTAGATCCGTGGTGGAATCCAAGTGTAGAATGGCAGAGTGGTGATAGAGTTCATAGAATTGGTCAATACAGGCCTGTTAAAATTACTAGATTTTGTATTGAAGATAGTATTGAATCAAGAATTATTGAATTGCAAGAAAAGAAAGCAAATATGATTCATGCCACCATTAATCAGGATGAAGCTGCGATCAGTAGGTTGACTCCTGCAGACTTGCAGTTTTTATTCAACAGTTAGTTGTCATGGATTTTGACATAAACTAATATGTCACTCATTAATACATTTAGCATCGTCTATTTATACATATGTAGGATAGAGTAAATATTATAAAGGACGCTTTAAAACTATTTAGAACAATATTTGATTGGAGTCTATCATATGATCTATTTACATTGTTTAGTTTTTCGCAGAGCTAGAACGAGCACCAGCACCGGATGACACTAAACTGATCTGTTCATCAGTTAAATTTATTTCAGGTAATTCATATTGACCTTTGTGAGATGGAGGTGGAAGAAAGCCTACTTTGATCAGATAAGAAATATAAATACCCATTTGATCCCTGTCGATGCCTTTACCCTTTGAAACATCAATTCCGGTCCACTTCACATCATTTTTTAATGATTTGACTGTATTAGAATCATCTAGTTCAGGTGCTCTTGTGCCACTTGGCAAATCATCCAAAACCATATGCAATAGTGGGTATAATGCATTTTCTTCATTGTTTTCAATTACGGATGATTTCAAAGATCCCTTCCATTCATCATACGATTCAATAGTAACATCATAACCATAAGCTTGTAGGGTGAATAGGTATTCATAAAACTTAATACGAGGATGACCAGTGACCTGTGCGACAGATAGCTCTTTACTTGACGGTGGATTTAGAGAAGTTGCAACAACGGTTCTTGCGACGTGATCAACAGGTACCATATTCACTGAATTTTCGATATTTGGAATTTTTCTAAGTTGTACAACACCTTTCAAAAATCTCAACAAGAAGTCGTCTGTGTTTGATGAACCTGTTTTTGAATCACCAGTTACATAACCAGGACGAACAATACAGCCACGCAACCCCCTTTCACCGGCACGTCTGATTAAATATTCAGAAACCCATTTAGATTGACCATAACCTCCCGATAGGCCCTTTGAAGAACCAAGTAAGTCATCAGATTCCATAATACCACTTTTACCTTCTGATACCAATTTATCAGATAGATTAAAATAATATTCAGTATCAAGTGTTGAAGTAGATGAAACAAATGTGAAAAATTTAGGCTTTCCATGGGCAGCCAAATTAATAACATTGATTGTTGAAACGACATTGGCACTTCTTAAATTTGTATATGGATATACCCAATGAACTAGGGCACCATTGTGAATTATAACATCGATTGTCGTGGTTAGCTTAGACCATTCTGAATCTGGCAATCCAAATTGTGTTTCAGACAAGTCGCCAATAACAATTTGTAATTTTTCAGCAAATTTTTCTTTCCAGGTACCATAGGTTAAACCAGCTTTCTTAATTCTTTCCAATCCTGTCTGTTGATTACTTGCTCTTACATGAGCGTAAACCTTAAACTCAAAGCCTCTAGTACTACGGTTTAAAATATCCGATAGGATAAATGAACCCAAGAAACCTGTGACACCTGTTAAGAATACATTAATGGTAGTTGAAGAGGAACCTAAATTAAAGCAGAATGGTTCTCGAGGATGGAATGAAACCGGTAGAGAATTTACCAGTTCCAATGCATCTTTATAATAATCGACAACTGAATCGTCAGTAGTACTAGATTCAGATGATTTAATAATATCGATTTCATTAGCGAGTGCTTTCAGAGTTGGATATTTGAATACTATACCTAAAGGAAGCTCAATATCAAATGCTTTTCTCAAAGCAAATATCATTCTCGTAGCTAAAATTGAGTGGCCACCCAGATCGAAAAATGAATCATCTAGTGCAATAGAGGAAGGTTTTGTTGGTAAAGTTGCTAGCCAAACTTCACTTATTTGTTTTTCCGTTATGGTAAAGGAAGAGTCATCAACATTGGTGGTGCCGCATTTGTTGACCTCATAAAGTTGTTTAGCGGTTGGAAATTGCAATTTAGGTTTATCCACTTTACCGTTAGGATTTAATGGTAATTTATTCAATACAACAATAAAAGTTGGAATTGCATAACTTGCCAGCCTTTTTTTCAAATGTTCTTTAATAGATTTTGCCAATAAGTTATATTTGACTAAGCCAATGACAGTTGGGTCAGTACTATCTATAATTTCATGGGAACAGTAATTTTGAAGCTCTTGTTTGTCAAATCTTGGGACCATAAAAGTAATCAAAGTACTTTCATTGTCATTATTTTTACGAACTAATGTGATGTTTTCCCTAACTAATGGATGTTGAGAAATATTAGTGTCAATTTCACCCAACTCAATTCTAAACCCACGAATTTTAACTTGATCATCTGCACGACCACAGCATTCACAATTACCATCCGGTAAATAACGACCTAAGTCACCAGTTCTGTATAGCCTATCTCTTGGGCCAAACCAAAACTCCCTCCATGGTTCATTACCTTTATCTAAATAATCCCAGTGATGTTCATCAACCAACCAGTTATTAACAAATTTCTCTTTATTTAATTCTGGCAACCCACGATAACCTTCAGCAAGACCTCCTGCACGCACATAAATTTCACCAACTTCACCAACACCGCATAACTGTGTTCTATCATTTCTATTAACAACCAACAATTGAACATTGAACATACCTTTACCAGCGGGCATGACATCTTTCAAATTCTTTAAAAATTCAGGATTCTTACTTCTTGATTCAACTTCGAAGAAAGAAACTGCACGCTGGGTTTCAGTAGTACCATACATATTGACGATGGTACAATTTTCAGCCAAAGTTTGTAATCTTAAACAATCACGTTTGGTTAGTATGTCACCAACAAAAAATGCATGGTGTAATTTTGGGAAAGGTGTTACAGCTTGTGCAGTTAATAATTGACCCATTGCTGGTGTTAAATGGGTGACAGTACAGTTATATTTATTCATCCATTCTGCCAATTTACCTGGGGTGCCGATATCATCTTGAGTTGGAACATACAATCTAGCACCTAGAAATAGTGGAGTAAACATATCTCTTTGGATAGGATCATGAGCGATACCACTCAACATGGTAAAATTATCATTTTCAGATAAGTTAAATTGTTTTGACATCCAATTAAAATAGTATGCTAATGAGAAATGTCTACCTAATACACCCTTTGGAATACCTTCTGAACCTGAAGTAAATGACAAAGTTGGATTTGAGTCTGGACCAACAATCACCCCTGTTCTTGTATCTTGTAATTGCACAAATTTCGATAATGGATCGTTAGCAATGTCACCTTCAACTTTCCCGTCATCTTGGATAGCAATTGAAGGGATTCGAGAGACGATTTCCAGCTCATTTGTTATGAAATCCTCTACTAATTGGTCTAGTTTTCCAGCTGATCTAATTACAATCAACCCACGAGGTTTCGCAACACTTAAGTATACATTTTGTCTTGCTGGTGGATAAGCAGGGTCGATGACAGAAAAGGTTGCGCCAGCTTTTAAAACACCCAATACACAAACCATTAGATCGACACCACGAGAAGAATAAATCATGACTACATCACCACGTTTGATGCCTGTAGATATTAAATAATGAGCCACTACATTGGAGGTACGATTTATTTGTTGGTAGGTGAAGATTCTTTCGAGTTGAGAAGACGAAGGAGTCTCTACGACACAAGTTCTATCTGGAAATTTTTCGGCATTATCTTGGAAAATATCTTGAATACAACCGACGAAGTCACACCAACCTAAATTCGTAGTTGGATCAGGTATGTCATCTTTCGAAGAACTAGTTAGAAGTGGGATTTGAGTTATAATTTGGTTTGAATCAGATGTAATTGAAGTAATGAAATTTAAAAATTGATCGATCAGGATTGAAATTCTTTTATCTGAAAACAATAAAGAATTATAGTTGAATTCCAAAACTGACTCTTCATTATCAGACAATTGTAAATTGATGGCTAAATCAATTGGAGAGTATTTAAAATGGTTTAAATTAAAATTTTGTTCATTTTTCAAAAATGCTAGTTTAAATAATGTAGGTGGAGTCAAGTTGTTATCATTTAAAATTTTGATAGTTTCAGATAAGTCATCGAAATTGATTGAATCATTAGAAGGTAAATTTTCTAATTCATTTGAGATGACGTTATATAATTGCTGAAACGACCAGTCCTTTTGAATATTAAATCGCAATACTCTATTACCTTGAATATACAGAAGGATATCATCATCACCAGTTAATCTAAGGATCAATGATGACCAAACAGCCAAAGATGTTATATATGTATCATTAAAGTTTTCAATAGGTAAGTCTAACTGTGGCACTTTAATATTGATAGTCCTTTGGATCGATAATGGTTCCGAGTGAGGACGTAAATAATCATTTGGTAAAACACTTAAAGTTGGGTTATCCAGTTTTTTAATCCAAAATTGTTCTGACATTGTAAATACGCTAAGCAAAATAAAACAAATCTATCTTACTGTTCTTTTAAATCCAATTCAACTCAATGGAAGATTGTTAAATAATTCTATGTATTTGAATTAATGGAATAATTACAATAGGAACAATTAATGTAATATAAATACCAACTATTTATATATGTTAGCATAACCAAGATCTAAAACTTATTACTATTATATTTTTTCTTCTATTTATTCATCTTAAATGAATATAAATAGTAAGTTTCGAGTAAGTGACTCAGTTTCCCTTCCCTACGTCAATTATTCTAAAAAATAAAAAATGCAATCAAACAGTATAGTACACTATTAGAAGTTCAACATCGAAGATAATAGTAATAGTCATAGGCAAGTACGGTATTGGATATTGCAGCCACATAACGACTAGCGACTGTCGATAATAATAAAATCCTCGCAAAATCAATCACCTAATGATACTCTTACTATTCATTATTAATCACACTTTAGGGTCTTCTATTCCACTCTTGCTTGATCAATCAATCAATCAGTTAAATGAGTTAAATCTTAAGGATCATTGAGGATAAAAGTAGACACTTTCTTTTGTCTGAATAAGTGTATACTGTATGAATGAGTCAACTTGACAAGACGACCAGAGTGAAAGAAAAAAGAGAAAGAAAGAGAGAGAGAGGCTACAACAAATTGACCATCAAAATTTCCCATGGGAATGGAATTTAATGGATTTGAAACGTCTGGTATGATGGTATTCCTGCTCAAATGAAGTTTCCCCCATCAAACAAAGAGCTTGGATTGCGTGTCAATTGCGATGCAAAAGAGTGTTATTTGTTGTTGCAATGAAATGGGTCTTGTATTACTGTATTGTGTTGTATTGTATTGGGAGTAATATGCATGGTTAGTTGTTTGGAAATATATATTTGATGTATGTTACGGTGCGGTGTATGGTAGTATGGTTATATTACTAAAAGTATAGTGTAAGAAGTAAATTCAGCTAAGTAAGTGGTTTTGTTCGTAATCAATTCATATATTATGATTAGTATCTAATGTCTAGTCTAGTCTGGTCTCTCTGTTGGCTAAACAGAGATATGTTTGAATGCATATGGGACAAGCAGGGTTATCTATATATATTATGTACTTCTTTCTACTACGAGAGACATTTTACAATATTGACTTTACCCTGACAATAGAGTCACATGATCTGGCCGAATGATGTGTTCTCTGGAATCTTATTTTTATCATGTTGGACGTAATAGTATCACATTGTCAAATTATCAAATTCTTAAACTTCAATTGAATAATTTGATAAATGTTAAAAAGAATTATATTGAAGTATATACATGCTAGAGATGTGCAAAAAAATATCTTGATACAAGTAATTATAATACTTTCATCAGGAGCAATTGCGTTTCACCTTTCTATCAGCTTGGTTCAATTGTAAATAGGAAAGCATATTGGAGTTTCCACACACCTTTTATCTCCCACAGCCAGCTAAAAGACCCCTTCGTTATTGTTTCATTTCATTTTATTTTATTCTGGAGTTGTTCAATTTTTCTTTTCCCTATATTTTTTAAATACTTTCTGGTTCGAGACACATCTCTATAAGTATATATATATAAATTCCAGTATTTGACAACAAAACTCTTTTGGAAAAATGTCTCAAAGAAAATTACAACAGGATATCGATAAGTTACTGAAAAAGGTCAAAGAAGGTTTGGAAGATTATGATGAAATTTATGAAAAGTTCCAATCAAGTGACCCTTCAAATACCTCATACAGAGAAAAATTAGAATCTGATTTGAAAAGAGAAATCAAAAAACTACAAAAACATAGAGATCAAATTAAAACATGGTTAAGCAAAGAAGACGTCAAAGATAAGCAAGATGTGTTGATGGAAAATAGAAGATTGATTGAAATAGATATGGAAAAATTTAAATCGGTTGAAAAACTAATGAAAACAAAACAATTTTCAACAGAAGCTTTAACAAACCCTGATATTATTAAAGATCCAAAGGAATTGAAAAAAAGAGATCAATTTATATTTATTCAAGATTGTTTAGAAGAGTTACAAAAACAACTAGAGTCTTACGAAGCAAAAGAAGATCAAACCCAAGTGGAAAGACATGAATTTCATATCTCAAATTTAGAAAATATTTTAAAATTATTACAAAATGATGATTTAGAAGCAGAAACTGTAGAAGAATTTCAAGATGACATTAGATATTATGTCGATAATAATGATGATCCAGACTTTATTGAATATGACACCATTTATGAAGATATGAATTGTGAAATTAAAGAAGATGCAGATTCTTCAATGATGAGTGATTCTACAAATGCAAATACATCAAACTCTACAACTTCAAAACCTAAAAAACAAGAACGTTCTCCAAGAAAAAATAAAACTACAAGTTCAATGGTTTCAACTCCGACACCTTCTTCTCCAAATTTGACTTCACAAAATATTAATGATTCAAACTCATCTCCAACCAAATCAGCATCATCGACTAGTAGCAAAAAGAAAGAGATTTCCCAGAATGAAATCTCAGAAGATAGAGAAATCAGCTTCCCTCCTGATATCTCTGAACAAATAGAAGAAGATATTAAAAGAGATATTTCTCAACATAAAGCTTTCAAAAATCCTTTATTCAGTGAAGAATTGAAGTATTGGTTAGATTCAAAACGACCATTAATGCAGCCATATAAAGAAATGCCAGACAGAATGGTATCACAATTAGAATCATCTCTATTGAATTGTCCAGATTCATTAGACGCTGACACACCATATCTTTATAGAAACCCACTTTCATTACCACATCCAACTTCTATCTTCTTTCCTAGTGAGCCAATTAGATTTGTTTCTCCTGTAGATTCTCCACAGTTGCAACAACAGCAGAATACTGGTTCAAACGAAAGTATAAAAAGTGAAGATGATAAAAAGGAGTCTAAACCAAGTACAACTCATGATATTTATTCCAGAACATCATTGGCTAAAACATTCAGTAAATTTGACTTAGATACCTTATTTTTCATATTTTACCATTATCAAGGCACCTATGAACAATTCCTGGTGGCAAGAGAATTGGCAAAACATAGAAACTGGAAATTTAATAAAATAAATCGTAATTGGTACTACAAAGAGGTAACAAAATCTCCTCCAGGTATGCAACAAGCAGAAGAAGAAACATGGAGGTATTTCGATTATCAAAATAGCTGGCTAGCAAGGCGTTGCAACAGCGATTTTAAATATAATGAGGAAGATTTTGAAAAATTATAAATATTAATAATTTGACTTCTGGAGTTCATTCATCATTAGGTTTATTACCTTATTTTAAGTAATTAATTAATAATTCTTCCTATGTATTATTATTACAAAAATAAAAGCACATTAACAACAACATCTTAAGGTGAATATAAACATATGTACATATATATATGTGTGTGTGTGTGTTAATATCATATTATTTTTTTAACAAATGTTACATAATTGTTTTATAATTATATAATATAAACAGAGACATTTATCTCACTAGACCTAAAAACCTTTTTAACAATATTCATTAGAAAACTACCAATTTATACATATATTAATTTAAAATGGCTTAGATAGAGGGGAGACGACTTCCTTACCCTTGTAGAATGCGACAGTCTTCATAGCCTTGTCAGCAACAACATCAGGAGAGAAACCGAAGTATTTGAAAACTTCTGGAGCCTTACCAGAGGCACCGAATCTATCCAAACCAATGTGTTGATGAGAGTATTTACCCCAACCGAAAGTTGTCAAAACTTCAACGGACAAGATTGGAACACCATCTGGCAAGACAGACTTTCTGTATTCTTCTGGTTGTCTGTCGAAAGACAAGAAATCTGGCATGGAAACGATACGAGACTTGATGTTTTGAGCAGCCAAGATCTTAGCAGCGTCAATGGACAAGGAAACTTCGGAACCAGTAGCAACGAAGATGATATCTGGGTTAGCAACATCTTCAATAACGTAACCACCCTTCAAAGCCTTTTCGATGGAAGAACCGGCCAAGTGTGGCAAGTTTTGTCTGGTCAAAGCAAGCATGTTTGGAGAATGTTGAGATTCCATAGCACATTTGTAAGCAGCAGAAACTTCATTACCATCAGCTGGTCTCCAGACGTGCAAGTTTGGCATAGCTCTGAAGTGAGCCAAAGTTTCGATAGGTTGATGGGTTGGACCATCCTCACCAACACCGATAGAGTCGTGAGTAGCAACCCAGGTGATTGGGTGACCAGATAAGGCAGATAATCTGACGGCACCAGCAGCGTAAGCAACGAAGTTCAAGAAAGTACCAGAGTATGGTCTGTAGTTAGCACCGAAAGCAGCAATACCGTTTAAGATAGCACCCATAGCGTGTTCTCTGATACCGTATCTGATGTACTTACCAGAGTAGTCACCTAAACCAGAAGATGGAGGTTGGAAATCAACAGCTTCCTTCCATCTGGTCAAGTTAGATGGGGTCAAATCAGCAGAACCACCAACCATTTCTGGTAAAGCGTTGTGAATACTTTGCAAACACATTTCAGATAATTTTCTGGTAGCCAAAGCAGAGTCCTTTGGAGTGTAAGTTGGCAAGAAAGAGTCCCAGTTAGCTGGTAATTCACACTTCAATCTTCTGGCTAATTCGGAACCTAATTCTGGGAATTTCTTTTGGTATTCGGCAAACAAAGCATCCCATTGCTTGTTAGCTTCCATACCTGGGGTGGTCAAACGTTGTTGGTATAAATCGTAAACTTCTTGTGGAACAGCGAAGTGAGTGTTTGGGTCGAAACCGAATTTAACCTTCATTTGAGCCATGTCATCGGCAGATAATGGAGAACCGTGAACATCGTGGCTACCAGCCTTCAAAGAACCGTAACCGATAGTGGTTCTGTTTTGAATAATGGTTGGCTTGTTAGACTTCTTAGCTTGTAAGATAGCGTTGTAGATAGCATCTAAATCTTCATCACCGTTGTCAACTTTTAAGATTTCCCAGCCGTAAGCTTCATATCTCTTTAAGACATCTTCAGTGAAGGAGACCTTAGTGTTACCATCAATGGTGATCTTGTTGTCATCGTAAATGGCAATCAAGTTACCCAATTCCAAGTGACCGGCTAAAGAACAAGCTTCAGAGGAAACACCTTCTTGTAAACAACCATCACCTAAGAAAGTGTAAGTGTAGTTGTCAGATAAAGTGAAACCTGGCTTGTTGTATGTAGCAGCTAAGTTAGCTTGAGCGATAGCTAAACCGACAGCATTAGAGACACCTTGACCCAATGGACCAGTAGTAACTTCAACACCTTCTAATTCATATTCTGGGTGACCTGGAGTCTTAGAACCTAATTGTCTGAATTGTTTTAAATCTTCAATAGAGTAATCGTAACCAGCTAAGTGTAACAATGAGTATAACATAGCGACGGCGTGACCATTAGATAAAACGAATCTGTCTCTGTTGATCCAGTCAGCATTCTTTGGGTTAGCTCTCAAGAATCTAGTCCATAGAACGTGAGCAGCTGGGGACATACCCAATGGAGCACCTGGGTGACCAGAGTTGGCAGCAGATGGTAATTCGGCAGACAACAATCTTAAAGTGTTGACAGCTAATTTATCAGTTTCGTTGAATTGAGACATTTGTATTAGTTATTTTATAATAAAGGTTGTTGGTATATCAATGATATGTGAAAAAAAAAGGGAGGCCAATTGTTTCAAGAGATCTAATAAACTATAAGCTATCGATCAATTGCTTGGTTGGTATACTTATGTGAGATCAAAATTAGAAGATAAAATATAAGAATGAATAAAAGAATTGAAACAAAGGAAGTATAAAAGAATAAAATGACAAGACAAGAAAACGAATTAATTTAATTTTTTTTTTAATGAAATCAAGCACCATTTTTATATCTTTTTTTGCTGAACATAAAGACAGGAATCTTTAAACAGTTAATTGAAAAATTCCACGATTACAAATTACTTTTTTTTTTTTACAGTTGCTGTTGGTCGAATCGAACACTTAATCTTCCTAGATTTCCCTATTTCCCTAGTTGCCTCATTGAATTGAATTGAAGTCTCTTTTCACACTGCCAATGTCAGACTATCCTCAATTTTCATTTTTTTTTTTTTTTACCTATCTCCTCGAATGGAAACCTCCTAGTAAGCATCAGTAGGAATAAAATTTCGATCCTGCCTTTTCTCTTTTACTTTTACTTTTACTTTTACTTTTCCAAATCGTTATTATTAGAAGTAGTACCGCTAGTGGCAAAAGTATCAGTATTGGAATTTGACAGTCAACAATTGTCTTCTTCTTCTTCTATTTTTTTTTTCATGTTATTGTATTGTATTATATCGAGCATAACATAACATAGCATAACATAACAGAACATGTATTTCGAATCGATCCAATTCTCGAAGTACAATTACCTACTTAGCACATTTACCCAATAGTAATCAATATTACCTACCAAACTGCGCTAACCAACGCGCATAAAAGAAACAAAAAAAAAGAAAAACCATGATCTCAATCCTGTAAATTACCACCAAAAATTCAAAACTAATTTTTCTAATTTCCAGTTCAGTTCGAGATACAGCTAGGTGAAATTTCCCGCACAAAACGATATGGTAAATATAAATAACTAACCTTACACCGACGCTCCCTTTAATGATTGTTAATAATACGAGACAAAATGGAGCACAAACATCATAGAGAACAATAATCCTCCGAAACGTATTTACTAACCCTTTCTTTTCCTCATCCTCCCCCTCCCTCTTTTCTCTCTCCCGCCCCCCAAATCCTTACCTATCCTTGTTCAAAGACAGTCTGTTCTGTTTGGTTCTGTTCTGCAGTAAGGAAAAGTAAGGGCGTCCCGTCCTATCCTTGTTGCTAAACAAACAAGCACCAGAAACGACTACCAAGCAAAACCAAATTTTAAATCCCATCACATCCCATCCCATCCATGAGACCAAAGCCAAAGCCAAACTGCCCCTGTTTTATTTGAGTCGGTTCGGGTTGGTGTAGCTTCATGTGGCCCAGTTTCTTTGTTCCTTTGTCTGTGTAGTGCGTTGTAGCTATTCCTCCCAGTTCTGCCAAAGACAATTGCAAACAGACGCACATGCGCACATACGCACACTTGGAGTCCCAAAAGTTAGGAGAGATATACAGAGAGAAGACTCTGGCAGGTGGAGAGACAGACAGACAGACAGACACTGGATTCCCACCGCCCGCCTGTGTCCGCCTTCTTTGGGCTTTAGCACAAGACATCCATTTTCTTGATAGGTCTCCCTGCCCGGCTCGAACCAGAACGGACACCCAGCAAGGACTGTCCGGACAGGGAGAGAACTCTGCATGGTAACGGCCCACCGGCTCCAGAAAGAATCAGCTAACAGCTGGAAGTTGAGACGGGGTGAAAAACAAAAAAATCAAACTGGCGAGAGAGAGAGAGACAAGCAGACAGACAGCCTCCCCCCTTGTTGGCACAGGGAGCGTTGGTTCTTATTCTGAACATCCTAGGCAGACCTCATGGGTGTCTCACCTATATAATAGGGGTTAGGGTATCCAAGAAGGGGGTTAGAATCATTATGGTTGTTTGTTTGTTTCTTTGTTTGTTTGTCTGTCTGTCTGTCTGTCTGTCTATCCGTCTGTGTTTGTATTTCCGTTTGTGTATGTAAATGCGTTAGATTTGAATTCCAACTGAAACATGTACACACACTCCCACAGATACAGATACAGATACAGATACAGATACACGTTTAGGTCAGATTATGTCCTCCTTCCCAGTCTGTAGGTGTTTGCATAGATGGGATACTCACACTGTATGGTATTATCATTTAGGTATTGTTTGTTCATATGGTGAAATTGAATTTTAGGGTTTTGTCCAGGTTTAGAATAAGGGGGCCCTCGTTAATGGTCTCTTTTAACTGTCCAATTCATTTAAATCTCTCTCTCTCCTCATATTCAAGGGAAAAAAAATGTTTATGCAAAGGCATTGGAATCGAAGCGAACTAAACTAAACTAAACCGCTAAGGAATAAATCTTCATCCATCGTTCACATATCTTTTTTTTCTCCTTCCCAAACCCTCCCTTATTAGGTATTGAAAACGTATTTCAATCTTAACTTTGCCAGTTCGTAGGTGAGTGCGCCAGAAACTAAAGATACATACTGGTTAGAATTGAAATTAAACGTCAAGATTACACCAACAATAAGATATGCTTTAAAAAATATCAAAAAAAACAAACACACAAATACACATTAAAGAAAAAGATTAAAAACTGAGATTTGTAGTGTTTTTCTGCAGTTTAATGGCGTGTGTTTGATCAATCCAAATTAGTAATAATACAATCCTAAATCTCTCTCCCTCTCTTACGTCTTCCCCTTTAGAACTGTATCTAACATTTTGTAAAACGTATTACAATGTAATGTATAATGTATGATGTATAATGTATGTATGTCTATTTACGTATCCCCCCCCCCATAAGATGACATGGGTGTGAATTGGCTTTTTCATTGTTGTCATTATCGTGCCACATTTACCACTAATTCTAATCTCCCCTTGTTTCAGCCATTGACTTATTTTTTTTTTTACCTAACCATTTTTTCTTTATTTCCTATACTTTTCCAATACTGGGCACGGTGGGAAATTAACAAAAGAAAAATAAAAAGCTAAAAACGGAAAAAGGAAATATGGGATCACGTGATATCTATTAGGTCACGTTGTTTATATGTCATGTGATCTTCTTATCTTTTCTTTTCTTTTCCTGTCAAAATATTTGAATCCATCGTTACCACAAAAAAGATAAAATCAATGAGACAGTTCTTGTTTGTCTGACTTTTTTCTATTTTTGTGGCTGTGGTTTCCCCTTTTTATAAATACATACATACACACACACACACATATATATATATATATATTTGGATTAACACACTATTTAAAATATTAAATAGTATGAATCAAAACTGATCGTTGAAAACCTCTTCAATGCTAAAGATAAAGCCATTGCATAGAGTCATCATGAAGGTGTCAGCACTCTCAATATATACCAGATTAAAGATTCTGGCAGAATTGGGTTATATATACCTCTTCAATTTAGGAAAAACGTCAAAACTGTGGTAATGGCGGTTAAATGAGATATAAACCAATTTTTTAGGAATATTTATGTATCTGTTTTAATTTTTGTGAAATCCAAAGTATGGACAAAATTAATTACATTCGTATTTGTGGGGATGAGAACCGACAACTGTCCCGACGCTTACTCCTAAGTGTCTGCCTTCGAATTGTATGATTAAACATTATAATGAAACCTATACTCTTTGTGTTCACAAATAGAAATAATACTTTCCAAAAAATTAACTAATCGATAAACAGGTATGAACATGGTTTGTTTGTAATAATAGTTAATAGAGGAACGGTTTAGTGCTATGAAAGAGATGGACTCTGTCATCTCTGAATTTCATCTTTTTTTTTCTTTATTTCATCTCTTATTATAATGGGAAAAAAAAGGTATTGTTCAAAATAAATTATACCAATTCAAATTTCTCAAGATCTTGACATTATGAAGTCAGTGATCGCATAGAAAATTGTACTATTACTTTGGTTTCGTTTGACTAAGTTTAAATATTCTTAAACACCATTTATTTTTGTGCGGCGCGATCTCAGGTACCCGGACGTTTCCTTAATTTTCAATTTTGATAGTATCTCTCTACACTACGAAATATTAATTTTAGGTTCTTAAGGAAAAATAAATATTAAGAATTGGTTATTGTTATTTTAAAGGTAGTGTCAGTTAGGGCACATTCTAGAGTAGCAAATTTGGAAACCATAACACAATACTGGTTTGTTACTGTCCTATATTGACTAAACTCAGTATTCTGCATGACCTGGATTGGAATAAACTGAATCCTTAGACCAATTGTCGTTACCGTTATGGGTATACCGAAATTCTTTAGATACATCTGTGAAAGATGGCCTTTGATTTTACAATTAATTGAAAATGATAACGTCCCAGAATTCGATAATTTATATTTGGATATGAATTCTATTCTTCACTCGTGTAGTCATGGTGATAGAGGAGATACAGAAGGAATCATTAAACCGTTGACGGAAGAAGAAATATTTACAAGAATATTTATTTATATCGATCATCTGTTCCAATTGATAAAACCAAAAAAGGTATTTTACATGGCAATTGATGGTGTAGCTCCAAGAGCTAAGATGAATCAACAAAGATCTCGTAGGTTTAGAACCGCAATGGAAAATGAAAAAGCGATGAATAAAATTATCGAAAATGGTGGGGTCATATCAGAAGAGATTAAACCGTTTGATCCCAACGCAATCACGCCAGGTACTACCTTTATGGAAAAGTTGACTAAATATTTAAAATACTTTATTCACGATAAAATTTCAAATGATATAAATTGGGCAAATATTGAAATCATTTTGTCTGGTCATGAAGTCCCAGGTGAAGGTGAACATAAAATAATGGATTATATAAGGAAGAAAAGATCTCAAAAGGGTTATAATCCCAATCTAAGACATTGTATTTATGGTTTAGATGCAGACTTGATTATTTTGGGACTATCAACACATGCCCCACATTTTGCTATATTAAGGGAAGAAGTTACCTTTACCAAAACTTTGAAAAATAAAAAGACAGGCCTAGAGTTACAAAGGTTTTATTTTTTACAGCTCTCATTACTGAGAGAATATCTGGAACTGGAATTTAAAGATATTGCCAATAAGCTGAAATATAAGTATGATTTTGAAAGAATTTTAGATGATTTCATATTGATATTGTTTGTGATTGGTAATGATTTTTTGCCGAATTTGCCAGATTTACATTTAAATAAAGGCGCATTTCCTGTAATCTTGGAAACATTCAAGTTGTCGTTACTTAGTTCAGAAGGGTATATAAATGAAAATGGGACAATTGATTTAAAAAGATTGAGCACTTGGATTGACTATTTATCTAAATTTGAGCTGATGAATTTCAAACAAAAGGAATTTAATGAAGAATGGTTTAATAAACAACTGATTGCACTTGCAAAAGAAAAACAAGCCGATTCTAAAGGAAACAAATTACTTATAAACAACAGAAGAAAAATATTATCTAAGATAGAAAATTGGATAAATGAAGAAGTATTTGCAAACCAATTGATTAATGAAAATGTCGAATTAAGATTGAAAAGAAATGTCATTATAGGCAATTCAGATTTTTTTAAAGCTTTGTGCAAAGATCTCTCGTTGGAAATAGTAAAAGATAAGAAGAAAAATGAATATCTAATACATCCAATATTTAAAGAGAATCAGGGAGAGGTGGAAACTACCGAACTGGGATTACAATACGAGGAAATGAAAAATGTCCTGAAAAAACATAAGGATAGCTATAAGGAATTTCACTCAACGCCGGATAAGTTACCGAAACTTGACAAGCTTGATGAATTTAATAACGAATCATTCACAAAGATGAAGTCATCATATTATCTAAGGAAGTTATCAATTGATATAACTGACGAGGAAAAAGTTACGGATTTGGCAAAAAATTATGTAGAAGGATTACAGTGGGTGATGTATTATTATTATCGTGGGTGTGCATCATGGGGATGGTTTTACAGATATCACTATGCTCCAAGAATATCTGACATATACTTGGGATTAAATCAAAAAATTCAATTCGAAAAGGATGATCCTTTTACACCTTTTCAACAATTAATGGCAGTTTTGCCGGAAAGGTCAAAGGAATTAATACCTACCATTTTTAGGCCCTTGATGTATAACCAAGATTCCCCAATCTTGGATTTTTATCCGTCAGAGGTTAAACTAGATCGTAATGGGAAATCAGCGGATTGGGAAGCAGTAGTATTGATTAGCTTTGTAGATCAGGAGAGATTGGTAGCTGCAATGGAACCCCTTTTAAAAGACTTGGAACCAAAAGATGCTAGAAGAAATAAATTCGGTACTGACATTTTGTTTTTATATGAAAATGTAGAGAAAGAGAATTACAGATCGCCTAACATAAATATATTTCCTGATATTTTCTCAGATAAGTGTCACGAAGAAATATTTTCACTGGAAATACCTGAAAAGTTACAGTATGGACTTTTACCTGGTACATTCTTAAGACAAAAATTATTATTTGGATTCCCTACATTATATACTCTACAATTTATGGGGAAACAGGGTATGCTTGGGTGTAAAATATTTGAGAATCCATCAAAACAAGAGACTATGTCATTAATTATTCATAATAGAAAAAAAGAGGACTCTGCATCCATTGAAGATTTTTCAACAAGGTATTTAGGAAAAACGATTTATATACATTGGCCATACCTAAAGGAATCTAAATTACATTCGATATACAATGATGGAAGATTTTACGAACTACAATTCATTCCAGATAAATTAGGGCATAAGCATAAGAAATTTGTCACAAGGTCAGCAACTAGTGAAGAAAAAGCAATTATGAATAAAATGAAAGATAAATGGAGTAGGAATTTAAAAAATCAGGGAGGTATCATAACTGAACCAATCCATTCTCTAGTTGTTGTAAACAGATTTAAAGGATTTGGTAAATCTAGAAAAGATGCATTAATAAGGTCATATGAGGAAGAGGTAGAGTATTATCCCCTTCAGCTGGTAATTGAAAAGGTGATGCATAATATGGAAATTGCACTACTGAACTCACAAGATCAGTTAAGGACGGAATATAAGATAGGTTCTACTTTTGTTTACTTGGGTGATAATTTATATGGTGCAAAAGCTAAAATTATTGAACTTGACGAAAATAATAAATTTGTTGTGGAAATTGAACCTTTTAATTCGAACAATGAAAATATGTTAAAGAGATTTAGAATAAAGGATAAGGAAAATATTAAATATTATCCTTCATTTGTTTTAGCTAAAATGCTTAAGATCTCAAGCTTGGCTTTATCACGCATAACTTCGAAATATAGAATTACTGACATGTCTGGTCAACAAATTAATGTCGGACTTCCTTTAAAGAACCCAGGTCGTGATATTAAAGTTGAAGGTTATTCAAGGAAATTGCTCAATTTCTGGGAATTCTCACATGCTACTCTCGACTTGATTATATCATTCAAATCTACATTCCCAGAATTATTTAATGATTTAACGAAAGAAGGACCAAAAATAACATCAGCTGAGAATATTCTCATGAATATGACTAGCGAAAACAGATCGTTATTACTTCAGAAAGCAAGGACTTGGATTAAAGAAAACACAAAGGATTTGGAATTGGTGCCTGTTACAAGTAAGCAATTATCTGGTAGTGTTGTTAGAGAGATTGAACTGATAGTACAGAAGCAAAAAAGTGACAACAGTGAAAAAAAGCCCCTGCGTTTTTCAAATATTATTAGTCAATATTTATTGAATCCTTATGAATCCTCTATTTTGTTAGAAACACAAAACTTCTTATTAGGTGATAAAGTAAGATATATATTAAAATCAGGACTGGTACCAGAAGGCTCCATTGGTACCGTTATTTCACTTCGGACTGTAGCAAAGCTTTTATATATTGACGTGTTATTTGATGATGAATTTCTAGGAGGTAGGACCTATGGGGATGTTATTACAACTGGGAGAGTAATGGCAGTTAAATGTACATCTTTATTGAATTTAACATCAACATCGTTACTTGCACGTGGTACAAATCCTAAAAAGTTGGAAAGAAGTGTTGCCAAGATCGTAACTGGATCGAAAAAGGAAGTTAATAAGAATTCTGGAATGAAACAGAAAGGAGATAAATCTATTCCGGTGACTTCAAAAAAGAAATTTATATTTAAATGATGTTTATTGTCTATTTAAAGCATATAAGCGGTGATAATAATTATTATTCTATCAAAAGATCTATATGCATCTCTTGTTAATATAAATACAAAAGGAATAATATACATAAATTTATCTAATCATTAACCTTTAAAAGTAAATTAGAAGTTAAAATCGTTGGGATTAATTTTTTTGAGTTATCAAACCAATTATGCCCACTTCCCAAGCAATGCCATCAAACCAGCACCAATGCACATAACGAAGTAAGCTAGCATCATCTGTTTAAAGCCATTTGGATTTTTAAACTGGTTCGAAAACAAAAATTCATGGGCAATTAATTCTACTAAACCTGTATAAATCAAGATACCCGCCGAAATTGAATCAAATATACCATTTGTTATAAGTGCGCCTTTTGATTCAGGAGTCCATGAATTTCTGACACCGATACCGATTGCAATTGCAATTGGAGTACAAAGAGAAAAGCCTAATGCCAATAACCAAGGCATCCATCTTTTATCCTTTTTCCATTCAACTTCTACTAGACGTGCACCTAAACCTAATGCTTCAAACATTTGATGGAAAACCAATACGACAAATAGGGTCTTAAATTCACTCCCTGCCACAGCTAATGATAGACCAATGAACACTGAGTGAAATACAATACCTGACTCGAAAAATAAAACTGCTACCAATTGATTGTAAAAACCTTCATCAGTATTGTTTAAAGGTGGATTGCTTGGATTTCTGTCTTGATGGGTATCTTTATGTGAAAAATGATCCTTTCCTAACATTGGATTGAAATTGGTGTTGATTTCATCTTGATTGTCATTTATATTACATGATTCTATATCTTCATTTACTTTTTCAATATTTTTGCTCTTTTTACTTGCTAAATCTGATTGATCATCAGTGCAACCGTGGCTATTCATGCTGCTGTGCTTATGGTAGTGTACATCAGGTGACTGTAGAAGTCTGTCGGCCTTGGACATATAATGATACACAATTAATTCGACAAAAAACAATACAAAAAGAGATATTAAAGCAATGGCAAAGGACCATGGGTAATCTGTAAAACCTGGACCTAAGCAATCATTTGATAATGCATCAGTTGCAGGGCTTAAAAGATGGATAAAAGAGGTCGCAATGATAACTCCAGAACCAAAAAATTTTGCAATAAAAAAAAACCAAGATGGTACATTGAACATTTTGGTGTTGGATAAAATTAGAGGAGCAAAACTGCCAATAGCCGATGATATCAATATCATAAATACAGATAGTATCCTTAAATTCAAATCACCATTATATTCATTGTTAGCAGCACACACTGGCACTTGTGGATCATTTGTTGATTCCTCAACCGCTCTTACTAGTAAATCAATAACCATTCCGTTGACAATATTCTTAATATAGTAAAACTAATCTTGTCCAATGATGCTTTTTGTTGAACAAATTTAATAACAATTATAAATATGAATAAAAGAAAGAGAGAAAACCAATTTAATGACAATCATATATTTACTTCTTCTTTCTTTTATATATTTTATTCATGTTCTTAAAACTAAGAAAAATAATAAAAATAAAATAGATTTAGAGGGTTATAATTGTAATTCAAAAGATCATAATTAACAGCAAACACTCCAAAGTTACCTATGTCCAATGTCAATGGCTTGAACATCACATTCACTGTCATAACCTCTATAATTTTCCATCGTCGTCTGCTGTTTACTATGCCGAAACCTTTAAAGTTATCCGATTTCTGATGAAGATTCAGAGGTCATGGAAATATCATGACCTTGAAGGGAATTTAGTCAAATCGATGAGATTTTTGGTGTCAGGGTTAAATATTTTTACGATAGATGGCATAATGCTTCTAAGGGACATTTTTGATTTGGAAATTAAGAGATCTTGATTTGATTAATTTATCAGGAGAGCTTATATTAAATATAATGAGATATAGTCTATAAAGAAATTTATAAAGTCAATCTTTAAAAATAAGTATCCTCTAAGGTCGTTAGAATATTGACAAGTAATGATGTTTTTGGGCGTTAAATATATGTAGAAACATATTGGGTCTTGCTCTTTTATAATGATGTGTGGTGAGTATCGCTATTCAATTTTTTTTATTGCTTAAATTATCCAGAGCATCGTAAAATTTTGAATAAATAGAAAAATCGAATTGAGCAAAATTGCTATCAAGATCGATAAACACTTTTGCAGCTTCGCAGCTTTTGTAATAGTAATTTAAATAGTTACTACTGTAGGGATCGACCGTTGGTGCAAAGAAATCGTTTTGTAGAGAATATGTGGAACTCATTTTATTCAGTGGCGAACTTTGACTCTTATAAAATGAAGTAAATGATGATGTTATGGATGGAATTTCATCTTCAGATTTTGTGCCATTTTGATCCTTTTTGTTTGAATCTTCATGAGATAGGGGGAACAAACCCTTGAATAATTCGTAAGCAGCTAAAGTAAACCCAAACTGTGGAGAACTTCTTAATACACGAGCACCACTACCTTTAAAAAAACTTCTAAAGTTTTCCTCTTTTAAAATCGTCTGGGCAGCATGCACAATACCTGTATACTTTGTTTCCCCTTTCCTTGGATCTATTTGAAGTCTGGTTTTGATGACATCGAAAGGAGTTGTTAAAAAAGCAGCAGGCATACCTGCTAAACCACCAGCCATCAGAAGCTCCCAAGTTTTTAATGACTTTCTTTTAGTTTTGTCACTTGGATCAAAATTAAATAAATCTCTCTTCAAATGAGCATAAGTTGGAAAATAGATTGCTGAAAATGGAACATCTCTTAATAAGCAGGCTACTGCACCTTTATATAAACCAGTTATTCCCAGTGACTTTACAATCGAAAATGCAGTCTGTTGTACTTTGGCAATATTTTCAGCTGCATATTCAGATTTAACTTGTAGTCTAATTTTCACTATTTCTAATGGATTTGTGAAAACAACTTGACAGGCACCAGCAGAAGCACCTGAAATAATTTCATTAGGTAATGTTAGTTTCCCACTTCTATTATCTCTTAAATTTTTTCTCATATAATCATTTACAGTTAATTTAATTGCCTTTTCTGGGGCTACACCTATTAGCTGTGGTCCGATTCCTGAATACAAGCCTTTCAAACCTTCGCGAGATAAAATTTTGGCAAAACAATCAATATAGTTTTTATATTGGGTAACGGATCTTTGGGCTTGCATTCTTGTTTTAATCAAATCGATCGGATAAACTATCGTTGCACCAATGCATCCAGCAATTGATCCTAAAGCAAAGTTATAGATGGAATCAAAAATTGGATAAAAATAATAATTGATATATAACGAATTCTCTTGAATTCTGCGAAGTTCCATTTTATGGACTAAATCATTTAGATAATTTGGATTTATTATTTTCATGAAGTCTTCGATCGTTAGGTTGGAATATCTAGTATTCTTATCTTGATTATTTTTTGCAGAGTGAAACGATACCAAATTATTAAAAAAACTTGAATGTTCAATACTTTTTTTCTTATTTCGCTGAACATCTGGGTCATTAACGAAAGGACCTGCCATATCTTGATAATAATCATTAAACATTTCTAGTTGTATTTTTGGAATATTATTGCCGTGTGTGTATTCGTTTTGAATAAAATCTTCAATCAAGGAGTCTGTATGATGATGAGCAAATTGTTCTGGTAATTTTTTTTTTCCTTTTATTTTTGCATTCCCAACAATTGAGAAAAGCAAATTAATTTGAGATGGTGAGAAGGTTCCAATATTATTAACTTTATTATACTCATCATTAAGTAAGTCAATAAAGTCCTGTTTCGTAATGACATACTCACGTAAATCAGAAAGAGATAAATCGTTGATAGTAACATACCTAATCAATGCTTGATTCAATAAGTCGAAATTTCGGAATAAGTGAAATATATCTTTAACGACATTGTAAGTAATTGAATTATTATCCGATTTGATCAACGTAGTATTTGAGAGACTAAACGAATCGAAAACATCCTGTGAAATTCTGTGAGAGTAATATAATTTCAATAAATATGACATTTGGTTTTTATTAATAGTCCATGTATTACAGAGTTTTGGATCTTTATTTGACAACTTATCGAAACCAATTAATAATTTTTCATAATTTAAATCTGATTGCATTATTGTAATCAATGAATTTAAAGACAAGTACGACTTTAGTGAACTATCAGTATTTTTATTTGATATGCTATTGATTTGATTTGAAAAAGTTATAAATTCATAATATTTTAAAAATTCGAATTTATCCCAGTCTAAATATAAATTATTTCTTTTGATGAAACTATCACTTCCTTCCTTTTGGCTTACCGATTGCTGTAGTAATTTGACTGTTGATTTAAATTGATCTAGATCCAATAGAAGGTCGTCAAAACTTAAAGACTTATTTCCATAGGTTGTTGACTTAACTTTTTCATTTGAAATATTTGACAGCTTGGCATTATCAAACTTCTTAAAAAACTCATAAAGTAATATGAATTGATAATTACTGAATTCTAACAAATTATTGAAATAGAACCAGTCGTTAATAGTCAAGTAACCTTTATTACCTTCATCAATTGCAAAAAAAATGCAGCCAAATACATCCCTTGGAACAAAATTCAAATTGAATGAATGGTCGGTAATTCTTGAATATAGCGTTTGTGAACCAGTAATTAAATTCAGAAAATCGTCATATCTTAAAATTAGATCGCCAACTTTCTCAGCTTTTAATTCATTATTAGCAGTTGTAGATGAAGTAATTCCTATTAATCTTTTATCATATGGGGCTAAATTTTTTTCCTCTTCAGATATAACTTGAGCAAACTTTTTAAATATTTCAACCTGATGGACCCTATTGGTACCCATAGAATTTATTTGTTCCATTATAAATACCCTACTAGAGGTCTAATAAGTTAAAATATGTTTTCTTTATACAATAAACAGTACTTCTTTTTTTAACCTTGTTATTTGTTGGTTCTTTTGATTTCTATGAATGTCATAATTATAGTGAATGAAACCTTGAAAATGAGCGATGATCAAGGCAGTTGATATATCAATTGAGACTTATATGATATCAATTGATACTGAATAATCCTATAGTATAATTTTCTCCTTTGATTATGTATGTAGCATGTACTTTACCCTTTAAATCCTCTAATTATTGTTATAAGTAGTACTTATTTTATCGTATGTGTTTTTTTTTCAAAATTTTTTTGCTTAATCCCTTTTCCTTCATCTATGTACATAAAACCTAAACTAATACTCTATCTAACTATATGAAAGGTTTCAATTCACTATACATTTAAGACAAACTAAAACAAACCTATAGATGTATTGACAATGTTATTGAATTGAATTAGAAACAAAGTGATCTGTAAGACACTTTTGTTAATCTGAAAAAACCGTTATTAGATGCCCAAGCAAATGTGTTAATAACGTTAAATTAGTAGGGGTATGCATGTCTTTCTATACCGTAGTTAGTATTGCTATGATTATAATCATAATCATTATTATTTTGATTACTGATGTACACATTTATCATTGATGTACATATTTATTATGCATGGGATAGTTTATAATTCTTATAGTCCTAGTGCCACACCTTCATACTGGCTTGAAGTGTTTACGTAAAAATCATCTGAATCAATTGGGAATAAATGCAAAGCTTGATTTCTGAGTAATAACCATTCTAGAAAAGTTTCAGTCTGTCTAACTATTAGTTGACAGCTTTGTGTATCCATAGTTGTATTACTTATTAATTCTGGCAGTATACTGACTAATCTTAATAGATGTATACTTCCATATTTATGTAACAAATCTTCTTTTGATTTTAATTCATCATATTGTAGTCTCTCCAATCTATATAGTAGTAAAACAGGTAAAGATTTTTCGAAATATAATCGAAGCCCATTGCAATATTCAGATAACTGTGATTGTCCAGTAGGTGAGTCCAGTATTCCCGAACATTCTGATTCAAATTTATCAATAATCTCGCCAGCAGATAATTTTGAAGGAAGCTTACATATTTTTTTATCTTTGGTAACATATTCCCAATCATTTACTAGTACACTTTTCAATTTTGTTGGAATATGCATTGTAATCTTTGGTAAACTATTATTGTTAAACCAGTTCTTTGAATCAAACATCATATGTGGTGAATTTGAAGATCTATTACTCGTAGTTAATGTATTATCTAGGTTTGATGAAGATGAAGATGCAGTTTTGGGTTTTTTTAGCGAAACCGTAGTTGTCGTATTAGTATTTTCTGTATTTGAATCTGATCCATCTACTTGTTGCAATTGCAATTGCAATTGTTGTAATTGTAAATGCTGTTGATTCAAATGACTATGGGAATTAGATAATTGTGATTTGCGTTTTTTACTTTGTTTTGCACTATCTTTTTTAAGTTCTTTTGCCTGTTGAATTAATTTTTTTTTTAATTCGACATTTTCTTCATTATATTCACGAATTCTATCTGACCCAATCCATTCATCCCAAGTGGCTTTCCAACCTTGATAATGTATAAAATAACAATCTTCCGTTGCCATTTCAGATTCCGGTTCTGTAATTCCATTAGTAGTTTCATTTGGCGGTGTAATTAATTTTTTGTCTTTACTGTCCCAAATTCTTAAAACTTTAGCTTCATACAGAAGAGGACCATGGAAAGCTAAACATTTCCCACCTAATTCAAAACCCATATTTACAAATTAAATATTTTTTTTAAATTGTGTATTTTTATTTTTCTTGCCCTTTCTATATTGTTAATCATAGTATACCAATTTATCATTAATAGTGTATAACATTTGTTTTATATACATTTTATACAAAGTTAGTTAAGTTACTTCAAACAAATATTGTCTTGACGGGTATCAATCTGAGAATATATTATTTCCTCGTAATAAGATATGTATATGCATATAAAATAAAAATGTACCTTGAATTTTGGTGTTCAAATTCTTTGAAGCCCGTGAAGAATGATTTTTGCCTAATCCTAAATAATAGATAATTAATAATTAACCCAAAAATATTTGAATCCAAACCTCTTTAAAAGATACGGNAAAGGACCCCTTTTTAAAACCTGGAAACCAACCCAAAATTTAAATTCTTATTCCTTTTAAAAACAGAAAGGCGGGTGGTGGAATCACAGGATTTACCTTGGAAGCCTTATTTTCTTTTTGCCCAAAAAATGGGTTTAAATGATTTAAAATAAAGAAAGGGGAACAATTCCAAATTTCTTTTCTCCTCTCAAAAAGAAAAAAAAAAGGTTTTTTCACATTTCTCTGGTTTGGGAGGCA